TCTCATAATACAAAAGAAAGATCACTGAATTGGAGGTCAGATAGTTGAGGTGTGCACCATTTAGTTTTTAGAAGTAGAACAACTCTGGCAGCCCGCCTTACCAAATATGGGCCAGCGGCAACCTAATATGGAAGGAGCGCATTATTCACACACCATCTGAAACTACGCACTGCGCCGCGCTCATTGGCGATGCAACGCGCCAACAAAACAAAGACATTGGGGGGATCCCAGAAAGGAATAGAATCATTTGGAATAGTTTTCTCAGTGATTGAAGAAGTTTTTGTGAACAGACCTCGGAAAGAGCTATTTGGTGCATGAATCTTTATACAAACCAGTTGCACAACATGCCATTTTGCATACATCAAGTTATATTTTTTTTTCTTCCCTCACAACTGCTTCCCCCACCTATCTGAATTGATTCTAAAGTATGTAGGCTATATTTGGGGAAAGTATGGGAGCATTTCAACAAGATTTAGATAGTGAAAGGAAATAAGAAAGAATGTGGTTTCATGTTTAGAGTCATATTTTCACCCTTTCAAGCTCCAGCTCCCCCAAACCATCAGAAAACTGCTTTGGAGCAGGGGATATATATTCTGCCATATGTTAACTATGTATAAGAAAGGCTCAGATGTTGAGATTTGGTAGCAAAGTATACAGAAAAGTCAACAATATCATGTTGTGAGATATTTCATGCATTCAACCTCATTTCTCCACCATGCGCCAAAATTCTTTTCCAAAGTAAACTTGAACCTATTTTACAACAGTTGTAGTATGCTGGAAAGATGTATTGAGAAGCTATAACAGTACAGCTCATTTTTTCCCCCCACAACTCCGGTGGGGCATTTCATTGACTCCGTCGGGGCATGTAAAATTAAATATGTTGACTCCTGCAAAGCATTCAATACACTCCGATGGGGAATATAAAATTTGAATTGGGTGGGAGACAGTTGATTGACTTTCATGGGGTATTTAATTCACTCCATTGAGGCATTTAAAATTAAATATGTTAACTTCTGCAGGGCAGTTTATTCACTCCGACGGAGCATTTTATTGACCCCATCGGCGAATTTAAAATCAAATATTTTGACCCCGCGGCGATTTAATTCACCCCGACGGAGCATTTTATTTACGCCGTCGGGGCTTTTAAAATTAAATATGTTAACTCCCGCGGGGCAGTTTATTCACTCCGACGGGGCATTTTATTGACCCCGTCGGCGAATTTAAAATCAAATATGTTGACCCTGCGGCCATTTAATTCACTCCGACAGGGCATTTTATTCATGCTGTCAGGGCATATAAAATTAAATATGTTCTCTTACAGGGCACTCCGACAGGGCATTTTATTCACTCTGTCATGAAATTTAGAGTCAAATATGTTGACCCCCGCGGCGCATGTAGTTTACTCCTCCAGGGCATTTTATTTACTCTGACAGGGTATTTTAAATCAAATATGTTGACTCCCATGGGGCATTGGGTTCACTCCTCCAGGGCATTTGAAATTGAGTATGTCAACTCTGGCAATGCATTTACAATTAAACATAATAACCCCTCAAGTCAATCAAATTCTTCATGGAGTCAAAATAGTCAAATTTAAATGCCCATGGTGGTTGACATACTCAGCTAAAAATTCTCTGCCAGAGTGAATCAAATGCCCCATGGGAGTTGAAATAACCGCCCCATTGGAGTCAATCAAATGCTTAACCAGAGTTGACATATTCAATTTCAATAGATGTCATTTATTAATATTATGGACACAGGTAATTTACCATTGGAGCAGGTTGGGGTATATACAGCATGCTTTGCTGACCAGCAGCTGTGTGGTAGAGCAAGTAGCTTAGGGTGGAGGTTTACAATTAGCTACTACTGATAGAAGCAAACAGTACAACATCAAAGCAGGTAACAGTATTACAGTTGTTCTAGTAAAGATTGGGGAACTATGGTGTGATGCCGACGGGACACCCAGAAGGCTGCCGTAGGTAGCTGCCGCGGCAAGAGACGCCGTGCCCGCAAGCCATTTGTATGCATCCGGCTGGTCCGTTGGTAAAGGGATGTTTTGGAAAGTCCGGCCGGGACCGGCTGGCCCGTTCATTACGAGTCATTGTCATGTCCGGCTACTACGTTTGGTACGTGACACAGTGACTGATATATGTGTATGCCGTCCATTCGTTTCCTTTTCCTCGATTTCGCGTCCCACTCTACTTTCCGTCCTTCGCATTTCTCTGACTTCGAGGTGCAATAGCCATGTGCTTCACCTTGACATTCATCCCACACTCTGAGTCCGTTTCCCCCATCCCCCGCTGCTGCCCAGCCTTTGCCGTTCGTGTTTCTTGATGCACAGGTCTTCACTCCCAGTGAAAACCGGCTCTGCTCTCAGCCGCAAGTATCTGTGATTTCCCGGCAGATATCGGAGATCGTCGGCAGAGCAGAAAGGCGCTGGTAGACTGGGATTTCGTCCCTTTTGCGGATTTTTTTCTGTCAGTATCTGCATTCCTCGACACCACCACTACAGGTCCGCGCGGAATTCTCTGTCGTAGTCTGTACTTATCTGCAAAATTCCGCTGAAAGCTTGTATTTCTAGAAAAATTGTCTATTGAATATTCCCGCTGCATTCTGCGAAAGTCTGTGATTCTCGGATTTTATAAAAACTTTATTATCTGCGTCTATCTGCGTTTATCTGCGTCTGTCTGGTACCCTAACCTGCCTCTTTCTATTCCCCTCCCATACTCCTGATATAACCGAATGAGTGTCAAAAATCTGCCAAGTACCGTGAGCCTGAATTTCCGTAACAAGATTGGACTCGCCAAGGTCGTTAGGAAGTGGTTGACGAAATCTTCGCAGCTGCTTTTAGCTCCTTGCTTCTGGCTTCATACGCCTAAATTTCCTGATGGATTGGTCCCAGCATGCAAAGCGAATGTAATTACGTACCTGACGTCTTTTCGAATCAAGTTTTGCAAAGGCGACGCGGAATTCGTCGAGGGTCGCGTCGGGGTACTCTTTCACATAATCTTGCATATACAGGTTACTGCAGATGTATGTTAGCAATGGATAAGATCATCATTGACTCAGATCACGTACCGCGCTGTCACAAGGGTATCTGAAGGAACAAGGGGCCTCCCTTTTTTAGCGATTGGCGACACATGGCCGGTTTGAGGTAGAGAGGGTAGGGCGGTGGTCTCGGGAGCTTCAATAACAGCCTTCGGCACCACCAGATTGGAGCTTGAAATGATGTTGAAGTTAGCGCAATCAGTCAAAGAAAAAAAGGTCTTCGCACAGCGGGTTCATCTAATGGATAATGATAAGGGAGATCTTCAATCATAGGTAACGTCGTACATACCTTTTTCTGGCGTATCGGACGCACCGCCGGTTGTGTGGTGCCTGGCTCTGGTTCTGAAGATACAGGTTGTTGAACCAATGATACTGGGGGGGATGTACGTGGACGTTCTAGAGCTTGTGCGGTGGACACGGCTGGTGTGACGATAGATGGACATGTTCGAATGTCCGTTGACATTGTTGATTGAAGCGTGGGTGGGTGGGGGACGGCAGTCACATCGGAAGCCGTGACGATGGCTGGAGGTTGTAGGGATCGGGGAGAGGACGGTGCAGTGGTGGTGGACTCTACCGCCCCGGGGAAAAGATCAACAACCTGAAACAAGGATCAAGGATGTTGGGGAAACTGCTGTGTCACAAAATTGATGACTTACCGATGTCTTGGGTCCGCTGGTGTCTGACATCACCACTACGTTGGCAGTCCTGGCTTTGGGGACGTAGATGCTGTCCTCTTCGTCAGAGTCCTCGATAACGATGGGTTCTTCGGCAGTCACTGGCAGCTGAACGCGAGGGATTTCGTGTTTAATATCTTCTTTCTTGATTGGCCGGGGTTTCTTCGATCGCTTCGTATCGTTTTGTTGAGTAGGGAGTGGCCGCTTTTGACCGATTGTGACGATGGATGGAACAGCGCCTAACAAATAGATAATCAGGGTGGGAAAGCCAGAGGGTAGAGATACGCACGCTGTAGACCGCCCGCTTTCCTCACATTCTTGACCCAGTCTGGGTAGCGCTCCGTTGTCCAAAGGTGAATCTTCCAGTTCCCCTCGCAAAGCCGAAACTCGGGGTATTTGGTTGTGATGGTGTTGTAAAAGTAAGAAGCAGCGAGATCGGTCTTCTTGCTCCACGATGTTGGATCGTTCCGGCGCCAATAAAGAGAATTGAAAGCGATCTTCGCATCGGCCCACAATTCGTTGTACCTTTGTTTTGATAGGGTTTCTCCATGTTTGTCTGTGAGAAACGCGTTCCAAGGGGGGTTTCTGTTGGCCAGCTTTTCGCGCTCCAGATAGGTGTCCCATTCTTTCTTCATCCAATGCGGAACCCTGGGATAATCGACTCGTTCGAGAGTTGGGGGAGTTGGGATAACGGGAATTTCTACAGTCATGGGTCGGCTTCGAGACTCGAAATCGTGGCGTGAATCGTCTCTTCCAGGACTGGTGGCTACCACTTTTATGATTAATCTATGACAACTGTCCAAGAGGCAATGTGTATACTGCCACAGGTTTTATGAAAGGCATCTCATTAGGATTGCCCATCTATTTCATTCAATTTATCACTAGAATCTTTCATAAGATATAGGCAAGGATAATGAGATATCATGAGGATATTTCATTAAGATCTTTGGCCCTTTCATTGCCATTTCATAGACTTTTCATTAGGATATTTCATTAGGCTCCTTTGCTTTTTCATTACTATTTCTTAGAATTTTCATTAGGATATTTCATTAGACACCTTCGCTTTTTCATTACCATTTCTTAGAATTTTCATTAGGATATTTCATTAGACACCTTCGCTTTTTCATTACCATTTCTTAGAATTTTCATTAGGATATTTCATTATGCTCCTTCGCTTTTTCATGACTATTTCTTAGAATTTTCATTACAATATTTCATTATGACTCCTTCGCTTTTTCATTGCCATTTCTTAGAATTTTCATTAGGATATTTCATTATGCTCCTTCGCTTTTTCATTACTATTTCTTAGAATTTTCATTAGGATATTTCATTAGGCTCCTTCACTTTTTCATTACCATTTCTTAGAATTTTCATTAGGATATTTCATTAGGCTCCTTCACTTTTTCATTACCATTTCTTAGAATTTTCATTTGGATATTTCATTATGCTCCTTCGCTTTTTCATTACTATTTCTTAGAATTTTCATTAGGATATTTCATTATGCTCCTTCACTTTTTCATTACCATTTCTTAGAATTTTCATTAGGATATTTCATTAGGCTCCTTCACTTTTTCATTACCATTTCTTAGAATTTTCATTTGGATATTTCATTATGCTCCTTCGCTTTTTCATTACTATTTCTTAGAATTTTCATTAGGATATTTCATTATGCTCCTTCGCTTTTTCATTACTATTTCTTAGAATTTTCATTAGGATATTTCATTAGGCTCCTTCACTTTTTCATTACCATTTCTTAGAATTTTCATTAGGATATTTCATTAGACACCTTCGCTTTTTCATTGCCATTTCTTAGAATTTTCATTAGGATATTTCATTAGGCTCCTTTGCTTTTTCATTACCATTTCTCATAAGGATATTTCATTAGGTATTTGGCCCTTTCATTACCATTTCTTAAAATTTTCATTGGGATATTTCATTCAGCTCCTTGACCCTTTCATTACCATTTCATTGAATTTTTTCATTAGAATATTTCATTATGTTCCTTGACCCTTTCATTACCATTTCTTACAGTTCTCAGTAGGATATTTCATTAGGCTCCTTGGCACTTTCATTAGATTTTCATTGAATTTTCATTAGGATATTTCATTCAGCTCCTTGACTCTTTCATTACCATTTCATGGAATTCTCATTAGAATATTTCATTAGGCTTCTTGGCGCTTTCATTAGGATATTTCATTGAGCACCTTGATGATTTCATTACTTCTCATTAGGCTCCCTGGCACTTTCATTACCAAAAATAGATAATAATGATGATATGTATCACATGGGTTGTTGGGAGGGTGATCACATGACCAATTTCCTAAAATGGTCAAAAAACGAAAGTTGTAGCCCTACACTGTAGCTTCCTGAATCTGTTTGAATTATGTTGTGAAGTGCTCCCATTGTGAAGATATGATGTAAAAGATTCTTCCAAGTGCTGTGTTTTTTTTTGTTTTTTGCATTTTTCTCCATGAACCATCATCCTATAGCCCTCAAAGAGCTGATATCAAAGTTGGCTATGTTTGGGATGGGCTAGTAGCTATCAATGTGAAAGCAGACAGACCAGCAAGTATCAATGTGAAATCAGAGAGTAGTCTGTCCTGATGTGAAAGGCAACTTGGGTATGATGTCAAAAGTTAATGATGTGGCCATAGCAAAAGGTAAAGTTATTTAATCCTTCAAACCATATCCACATGGACCTAGAACTATGATTTTGAAATAGGACAGTAGCTATCAATAGGAAGGCATAGAATAGCCTTTCTTGACATGAAAGACAACTTGTACATGATGTCAAAAATCAATGCTGCAGCAATGGCAATATGTAAAATTATGTCAATTCTTTAACCTCATCCCCATAACCTATACAGAGTCAAGGACACTATAAACTATATGTCAACTACAAATTTTTGTAGCCTCAAAATGTGGACAGTACAAACTTTTGCAGTCTAAAAAGCAGACACTACAAACTTTTCTAATACAAAAGTGGACACTACAAACTTTGTGGTCTAAAAAGCAGACACTATAAACTTTTCTATTAAACAGGCACACACTACAAACTTTTGTAGTCTAAAAAAGCGGACACTACAAAATTTTCTAATGGAAAAGCGCAGACTACAAAAGTTTTCAGCGTGGATAACCTTTTAACCTAACCCCAACTTTGTAGTCTATTCTATATCTGACTCTTGTAGTCTGTCAGTGTCAAT